TACACATACTAGGGCCAATTTAGACAGGAGCCAATTCACCTACCAACATGTCTTTGGAGTGTGTGAGGAAACTGGAGTACCTGGAGGAAACCCACGCAGGCACAGGGAGAACATGCAAACTCCAGGCAGGTGGTGCTGTGGTTGGGATCAGTGTTCAGCCTTGTCCAGCAGCAGCCTGCCATAGACTTTGATAGCCTGCAGGCAGTGGAGCTGCTGTACCTGCCCCTCCCAGGGGGCACTAAAATGCCAGGAGGGTCTCACAGCAACTAGATCCCCCCATATGCAAGGTATCCTAATCTGGGAGAATTATTTTAACAGTCTTTGTCTATGAGAGGCAGTTATGTGTTCCAACATCACAAGCAGGTTTGCTCCAGGATCACCAGATTACAAACAAAGGGAGTAGGGTGGACTGGTGCACTGCATCAATTCCTAAAGCTCAACTACTCCGCAGGTTGGAGAGGCTCCCTGGTTGCACCTTAGGGTGTCATATTTTCAGTTTTGACTGAAGTGTACCTTTAACCTATTATCACCGTAGCCCTTAATTCCTCTTAGGAACTGTTCACACTGACATTCGGTTAATGTCATCATCGGACCGAGCGATCAAAACAGTTCATCTATTAAATTCTGCCACTACTTAATTTAAACTAAATTCACCGTGAAGGGCAGCAAGAAGTCTTCTGTCTGAGCCTCTAATCTTTCCCTCTCCATTTCACATCAAATAAAGCAGATGAGCTCTATGATATCAACCACACCGGTATTTCATTCATTCTCCTAATAGGACATATTAGCATGATGGCCATTTATCCCGCCTGTCAACTGTGATTTACGTAAATTGTCCCTTCACTGACTCAGAAAGTGAAAAAAAAAAAAAAAAAAAAAAAAGAAGTTAATGCAGTATTTATTCCAAATCTAATTTGAAACACGGTAAAATAAAAAATGGACAAACTCAGTAGCCAGCAAATTGAGTAGAGGTTAAGTCAATTAAATTAATAGTGTCTTAGAACCTGCCACCAGTCAATGTCTTATTGTGAAGACATCTTGTGCAGAGAGCGGCTGAAGAGTATCGACTGTTTTTGTGTTTATTTTATTTAAAGCTGAACCCCATGATCCTGTGCAGTCTAGACCAGCCTTTCTCAACCATGGTTCCGTGGTTGCTCAGGGTTCTTTGAGCAGTCGTGGTTTAATCTCCTGCCTAAAGGAGCCTGTATAGTTCTCTCACCCTCGTCATTTAGCAGAGCTATCGGCATGGCACCTGTGGAGCTTCTCTTTTATATGATCACGTCAGGTATCTGTAAGGGACCATTCTTCTCAATGACCACCTTCATAAGAAGCATTCTTTCCACTGACCACCCATGTATTGGGGCATCACACTGACCATCACTTTTATGGGCATTCTTTTCAATGGCTACAAGCGTAAGGGGGCCTTCCTCTTACTGTCCACCAATGTAGTTTAAGCTAGAGCAATCTGCAGATATAAAAAATTTTTAGCAGACGTTCCTGGGGACCAGGGGCAGACTGACAACTCATGGGGCCCCCGTGCAATGAGGGGATCATGGGGCCCCTGTGTCCTCTCCACACTCAAACCACACCCAAAAAAGCCTATGAAAGGTACCAGGGACATGTCATGGGGCCCCCTACTAACCCAGGGCCCTCGGGCAGTGCCCGAGTGCCTGAATGGTCAGTCCGCCCCTGCTTGGGACCTAAACAATATTTCAAGGGTTCTTTCATAATAAAAAGGTCAGGAAAGGCTGGTTTAGACCTTCCTCACCCTTTAACCACCCTCAAAAAAATTACTTTAAGGTTTTAAAAAACACATGCCTTGCTTTTCGAGTGATTACTTATTTTAGCCTGTGTGACATCATCCTTCATTAGATTTACTTTGCCCATGTGCAACGTACAACGTGTTTTCTTTGTGGCAAGTTGAATTATTGAGTTTTCCATGATACCATGGGCATGCAGCCGGAGCCCAGGACAGTGCTGCCAATCAGTGGCTTTGGGAGGGTGGCAACTAAGTGCTGCAGAGATTGTACTTGTGATGTCATCATATCAGCGCTCTCATTAAAAAAAAGACACAAAAATGATTTTATGGACCAAGAGACATTTATCCTGAAGGGAGAAAACATTGGCACCCGGTTGCATAAACCTGAACTACCTTGCAACAGAGGGAACGCAGGGCACTTTAGGATGGGGGGGGGGGAAGAATGAAAGAAAGCAATTTTAACCTTTTAGAAAAGGTAAGGAAGCACCTTTAGAACTTGTTGGGCAGCAAAGGGGAAGTAAAAACAGACAGTCGGTCCACGTTTACCACCACCCAAACACCTACCTAAAATTTAATATGGCAGCCGCATGGTATATAGAGTCAAGGACGTAACATTTTGAGGCACATTTTTTACAATCGCTTTCCTTTGACAGGCAGCTCTTTTTGCTAAATGTATGTGCATTTGGCGCATGGCTGAGGCAAGTTATTTCAATGTAGGAAAAAAAATCAGGCATTCAAGAGGAGGTTGTATCCCAATAAATCTAGCTCTTGTATTGAAAGCACATTTTAAAAGGTCAAAACAGGTTCTCAGAATCTGCACACTAAAAGAAACCTAAATATTTGTAAGAGGGGCCAATGATGGTGGCATTCGTCAGATATTTGCATGTATCCCTTTTTTCTGGTTATAGATTGAGACTTTCTGCAAGTCAAATTTGATATCACAACATAGATAGTGTGACAACATACATGAATGTCAAATTAAATTAAAGTTTATTCAAACTTTTCCCTTTTCCTGCAGCATAAAATATGATTTTCACTGCATGAAAAAAACTTTCAAGTAGAAATCTCAATCTTTTGTGTGTGGCTATTTATAAAGGTTCTGATAACCCTTTTTTGTGCATTAACTTGCGATGTGTTAAAGTTACCCTAATCATTAAAATGTCATAAACACTTTAGCATGTTAATGTATTTTCAAAGGTCATTTTCTATATTTTAAAGTGTTACTAAACACACAGCAGTAAAATCAGTCTGTATATGCAGTAAAGCATGCTTGTTATACTCACTGTGGAACGTAATGGGTTAATCCTCTGCATTGTGTAAAAAGGCTGTTTGATCCTGTCTTCCCTGATCCTCCCCTTCTTTTGCTGTCCCCAATCCATCTGCCATAGTTAGAGTTGCAGTGGTAAGTCTGCACATGCTCTGTTTGGTGTGCATTGCTAGAGATTTTTTTTTGGGGGGAGGGTGCATGTGATTGGTGCAGGGCCAATCAGCACTGCCCAGACAGAGGGTCAGGGGTTATGCAGCCTCATAAGACAGTCAGGGAAGAATGAAAACTCCTCCTACAAGCTTTAACCAATACTCAGCTGGACACTGATAGGAGTCATAAGTCTACTATATACTGCTGATGAGAAAAGGTATTTAGCAGTTTGTATTTACTAAAATAATTGCATTGCTGTGTTCTGTGTACTGTGGAAGACTCGATATTGCGAATGCACAGTCATGGGTTTAGTAGCAATTTAGGTATCTTTCACTAAAATAATACCTGGTAATCCTGCCATGAAGGTCCTTGTTCAGACACTTCCTGTTATAGAGTGACAACGCTCTGTCCATGATTCCCAGTTGTGCTCCTGCGTTGTTCCACATTCATACTTTTTATGATACACAGTGCTTTAGCAAATTAGGGTTTCCATCTACTTCAAGGTAGTTCTCAATGAGCCTCAAGATGCAAAAAAATATGCACCTGGACTATTTCTGGCCAATGCCAAGTAGACCCACTTTTGATAGATTCTAGAAAATCAGGTTTAGCTGGATTGAATTATCAACTTCTTTGATATATGAATCTATTATGCTCACTAGTTTTTTCCACATTGAAAGGCTTGACGCACTTTAAAGAATGGGGCTTGGGGTACTGGGTCAGAGGGAGAGGATGGGGCTTGGGGTACTGGGTCAGAGGTAGATAATGGGTTTGGGGTACTGGGTCAGAGGGAGAGGATGGGGATTGGGGTACCAGGTCAGAGGTAGATAATGGGGCTTGGGGTACTGGGTCAGAGGAGGAGAGGATGGGGCTTGGGGTACTGGGTCAGAGGTAGACAATGGGGCTTGGGGTACTGGGTCAGAGGGAGGATAGGCCTTGCGGTACTGGGTCAGAGGGAGAGGATGGGGCTTGGGGTACTGGGTCAGAGGTAGATAATGGGGTTTGGGGTACTGGGTCAGAGGGAGAGGATGTGGATTGGGGTACTGGGTCCGAGGAAGATAATGGGGTTTGGGGTACTGGGTCAGAGGGAGAGGATGTGGATTGGGGGGTACCAGGTCAGAGGTAGATAATGGGGCTTGGGCTACTGGGTCAGAGGGAGAGGACAGGCCTTGCGGTACTGGGTCAGAGGTAGAGGATGGGGATTGGGGTACTGGGTCAGAGGTAGATAATGGGGCTTGGGTACAGGGTCAGTGGGAGAGGATAGGCCTTGCGGTACTGCGTTAGAGGGAGAAGATACCTGAAAATGTCCTTAAATATAAGTGGGTGTTGCAGCGACCACCGTCTGGAAACCGAAGACATTTAAGGTGAGAAATACCCTACCAGTACACCAAGGATCTCCAGAACGGGTCCATAACTTTCTTCAGAGATCACATCATAGTGTGACATTTCAGAGCTTAACAAGGTCCCTTCATTTGACACGATGAAGGGGTCCTGCGATGCTCCTAAACATTGCCTTTGTAACCTTGATGTGATTGCTGAATAAAGCTTTGGACCCATTTTGGAGATCCTTGGTGTGCTGACATATTTATCCTCTGTGCAACTAAAGTTGCATCTGAAATTGCATTAGTGTGTGAACAGAGCCTTAATTATATTTCTTTTACAAATCCTTTAGAATTTATTTACAAATGAAATAAAATATTTTTTCATTGTATTTTTAAAAATTAAAAAAACAAGAGAAATGTATGATTAATGCCTAGTGATAGCATAATTGAACTTCTGAATATGCACATCTAATTTATATAGGAATCCATCAAATTCAGTTCTTACCGTGGTGGAAAAATCTGGATAGGAAACACTAAGGCCTAGATATGATGCAAAATCTAAGGCTGGAGACATGTCCCCTGTACAGACGGAACTCAGATCTCCAAAAGAAGGTGCATAGGATATTCCATCTGTGAACAGATAACAATATGTCACTTTAGAGTAATGGTGGGATAAAACTCCTCCCTACCAGCCTTTTGTTCTATGGGAGCTGCCATTGTGGGGATAATGCTATGGGGTTATTTTATGGGATTATTGAAAAGGGGGCCATTTGACTCCCTCCTTACCATCGACTTGGGTACAACCAGTCTGTCAGATTTTTGTTACATGTGAGATTACCGCCGACAACTATAGCCGCTAGCAGTAATCATGTTTTTCGGGCCGGGAGAACACAATAGCTCTGCGAGAGCCATTATCCCATCACTGACTGCGTCGATGGGGGAATCAAGCAATTTTCTTTCTTTCCACCTGCACCCGCACCCGCAATAAACCATCCACTGCTCATTCTACTTGCCATCTGCAGGATGAAGAAGTGTCACTAGGAGAAAAAGTGCCCCATCATTGGTGTCAGGGGGAGGAATAGTGCCCCATAATTGGTGTCAGTGGGAGGAATATTGCCCCATTGTTGGTGTCTTTGGGATGAATATTGCCCCATTGTTGTTGTCAGAGAGGGGAATATTGCCCCGATGTTGGTGTCAATAGGAAGAATAGTGTCCCATTGTAGAAAAGGTCTTTGGTGTCAGTGGGAGGAAAAGTGCCCCATCATTGGTGTCATTAGAAGGAACTGTGCCCCATCATTGGTGTCACTGGGCCCCATCGTTGGTGTCATTGGGACAAATTGTACCCCTTCGTTGGTGTCGGGCGGGGGGGGGGGGGGTATTATGCTCCATTGTTGGTATCAGTGGAAGGAATAGTGCCCCAAGGGCCAGATAAAAGCTAGTGAATGGGTTGCATTTGGCCCCAATCTGGTATGGAGACCACTTCTGTAGAGGAAAGATGTGCATAGTTACTGATTCCCTGGGCGCTCTGGGCGAGTTACATGATCAGCTCCCAGCACTGGCTTCAGGAAGAGGATGCAGCACTGCAATGCATGGCTGGTGATGTCACCTATAGACTTTTTGTGGGGCATCTGTTGTCAGCTGTCCCTCCTCTACCCTAAAATCGGCACTGGGAGCCCATCATGTGACTGGACTGGAGCGCCCAGGTAATAGGTAATGGCTGGTACACACTATAATTTTTTTTTTTCATTTAACCTGTTGAACAAAAAAAGAGCTCGGGAAGAGCTGTCTAACTATTTAATTTTAGTGTAATGCTATCACCGTAGCAGCTGCTTGTATTGTTCCCCGGGTCTCCCCTATCTTCACACTGCAGTCAGGCTCAAGGTATTTTCTACAGCCAGGTTCGCGCACACACACACACTTTTGCTTGTTTTCTTCAACGACCAGACTAGTGGATGGTGTTTTTGTATTTTTATTGTAGAACAGGTGATAGGGATGGGGAATTTAGTAAGATACTCCACAATTAGAACTGTTGAAGTCCTGGCTAGAAACAGACAGCAGACTTCTCTTTGGTAATAGCAACAAGTAGTTTAGGAATGAGCAAAGTCCCTTTAGCAGTAGTAGTAGTAGCAGGGCAGAGCTCCTCAGGTACAAGCTAGTTACAGCAGACTGTGGAAGTCCAAAAGGAGTAGAAACTGAGCAAAGTCCCTTGCAGTAGGAACAGTTGGACAAGCTCTTCAGAACACCAGCCAGTGTTCCCTTTTTCTCAGACCCACGCTGACTATAAAGCAGCAGAGAGGTAGCAAAGCACACAGAGTCCCCAAGATCTCTCAGTCTCTGTACTCACAAGGCCCAAGGACAGAATGGTAGCCTCCTTCCAATCTTCCAAATGATGCCCTCCAGTGATATCAGACAGATTTTGGAAGACAGCTCCCGTCAGCTTACTAAAGAACCAGTGTCACTCTCTCTCATACTTTAGGCCTTTAGGTTGCCCACCTGAGGCCACATGGCAGCATGTGCCAGGTGAGGCAAGCTTGCCTCTATCCTGGCTGGTGCAATCCTCTCCTGGAAATACCCTGAGCCCATGTGCTCACAGAATGTAAATACCAGCTCCCAGCATGCAATGGGGCTTCCCTACCCTGTAATTGGCAAGGGCTGTAATCATCATATTAATGCTGTTCATTTGCTTAGCTCATGCCTATGTTCTGGAAGGCTCTCATAGCTTCCAGAAGGCAGGAGGAGCTCAAGACAAACTTAAACTTAGCACCAGAGCATCATGAGCAGACCTGACTAATCAACTGCACCACTCCGTTAAGCAGAATGCCAAACTGAATTTACCTAACAGTCTCTCTTTTAGTCTGAGAAACACAGCTATACTTTTCCTACTTGTACAAAATCCTAGCACCTACCTAGGAGCGTGCTACATTAGTACAATGATCTCCCCGCTGAACTATTGTGTTCTGACAGGGTAACTGCCCCCCTGCCAGAACACACGGGTCAGCGCTCGCAGCCATTGACTGCCAACACTGATCGGATGGGGATCGGATGCTGATTTCCAACATGCCTGTTCAGCCAGCTTCTGTTGGACAGGCTGGTGTACACATAGGCCGAATGTTGGACAGTTTCTGTTGAGCGGGCCAATACCGGACGATATTCCACTCGTGTGTATGGGGTTTAAATATATACATCTTCCCTCTACAGGCTAGTTAGAATAGGACTTAGAATGGGGGTGGGAGCAGGTTTGAGATTAGATAGGTTTAGACCAGACTTCTAATTTAAGTATCTTCTATTCTGATAATCACCTGCAACCTACACATTTACTTACAGCTCAGGGCTTGTTTAACTTGTGGAAGTGAGATGGGGGCGGTGGATGAAATAGATGGTTGAACTGTGGTTTTATGGACTTCTAAGACATGTTCTTCCCAATGCACTGGGCTCCTTATACAATCGAGACACCTAACAGTCATAAGGTCACTCATACGTTTGTCCTCTCTGTCCAATAGTGGAGCAGTGTCAGTTCATACCATAGCTTGGATTTTGAAGGCGCCAGTCTCTTTCTCTCCCATCCTTCCTCAGGCTACCAATGATGATGGTGACACATGAAAGAAAGAGAACCAGTCCAATTACAATTCCTGCCACGACCAATGGGGACACCAGCAATGTGGAATCATGGCTACTTCTCATGTAACCAAAATACTCAGGAAGAGGGTTACTCTGGTTTAGGTGAATCTCTGTAAAACAGATTGGAAAGTATAACTACAACAATAAATAAAAAAGCACAAATATTAAGGTGCAAAGCAAGTCAAAATCTAACTAAACTTTAATTCAACCCCACCCCATTCTAAGTCTGTTCTATCTGCCTTACCAATTCTGAAGTTGCTCCGGGCCGGTCACATAATCTCTCCAGCATCGGCTTCAGCGTAGAGGAGAGTGCTCCCACAATGGCTGCAGAGTCTGGGTGATGACATCAGAATGGGGTCCTGCCATGCATCCAGCTCAGACTCCATGCATGCACTTTATTAACTCTTTCATCTACTTTACCCGGTGGCCAGGATGAGGACCTCTGCTGTGCTGATCTGCTCCTATTGCTATGGGAGGTGGACTGTTCGGGGAGGGATCACCAGAGGTGACTCTCTCACTGCTAGAAGACACCCCACCTATCACAGGTACCATGCTTCATGACAAGCTGCTTGTGCTGATTGCTAGACTTCCATTACCCTTGGTAATCACTTTCTTGTATGCTACACTATTACCTCTTGCAGAGCTGTCTTCATACCCCAACGTGCTTTACTGTCCCAAGCTGCAGACTATGTGTAGTGTACCCATTACTTGCAAACACCCCTTTAAATAACTTCAGACCAGGCATGGCAATGTGTCAAGGCTTTACTTGAGAAACTTAAACATAACAGACAAACAGTTTTTCTTAACCTAAAACCTTTTATAATACCACAGGACAGTGGGTCGGACCCAAAAAGCCAGTGAACTTAGACTGGGAACGGCGGCAAAAACATTAACTCCATTCCTCCCAATAGGGGCAGCAAGCTGTCTAACTAGCAGTAGGCAACCTGCTTACAAGTCCTAAGATTCATAATGGAGTGCTAGGCCAGCAAGAAAAAAGGGTATACAGACACATTGGCTTTTGATGTAAAATTGGAAGAAAAGAAGAACAAAATATTACCATTTGTGCAATATTGCTTTTTCATATTGGTGGGAGCACATGAAAAATCCAGCAACCACATTATTCAGAACATGCAACAGACCCTAAGGGAAATTTATCAAAACTGGAGCAACCAGAATGTTTAACGATCTGTGCTCGGCAACCTATTAACTGCTATTGATCATTTTCAAAACGTAACTGAACACGCTGGAAACAGAAACCGATTGGTTGCCATATGCAGCTGCTCCAGATTCTGTCTGCTCCAGTTTTGATAAATTCCCTCCAAATGTTAATTTCCTTACTACGTAATTTATAGAGGTAGCAATAATAGACAGACTCTTCACCTTTGGCCAATCACTGACACCACAGTGTCAGTTGGAAGGAATGTTCTCACCTCTGAAGTGGCCATAGGTTATATGGGCCAGCTAGTTCTGATGGCTGAGTCAGATTTCCCAAGTTAGGAATTCTGACACCAGTGCATCATCCTGGTCTCAGTGAGTCCAATCACAACATGTCTGCCATGAGCTGGTTTCATTTAAGCCTTTAGTCGGGGCCTAGGTGGTTGTATAAGGCCAGGACATGCCATTAGGTATCTGCCTACAGCCCATAATTCTTACTACACACAATTCTTCTCCCCACAACAAAGTTTGGATCTTGTGAGAGATGAAACATATTCCAACTGATCTGAACTGGAAAATGAGTAATGATCTCAGACCATGTGGTGTCCCAATGTGGAATGATCTCTCCCTTTCTATTGATTTTCAGTCACCAAGTCTGGAGGATTCTTTTGATGGCTAGTGAGGTTGTTGATTATCTGTAGCCAAACGTCTAAGGGAACCTGTCAAAGACTCGTTAACTGTGTTAAGTTTGCCACACACAGTTTCATTTTCCTTCAAACCATCATCAGGGGTCGGAACGGACTGACAACACATGGGGCCCCCGGGCAATAGGGGATCATGGGGCCCCTGTGTCCTGGCCCAAACTCAAAAAAGCCTATGAAAAAGGTACCAGGGGCATCTCATGGGGCCCCCTACTGACCCCGGGCCCTCGGGCAGTGCCCGAGCTTCCAAATGGTCAGTCCGCCCCTGGTCGGAACATTCTTTCTTAAGCACCATTGAGTTAACTAATTTTGCTTGAAAGCTCATAAAATTACATCCAAACCTGCTATTTGAATGTAATCCCCAACATATTTAACAGGTTTCATCACAATATGTACAATTTTTTCCCAATGAAAGAAAAAATTTTCATCCCGCTCCTTCAAATTTTCTCATAACTAGGGCTGAAAACGGACATTGCCCACTAACCATCACAAAATTGAACGAACGTCCAAAAATGAACATTTTTAAACTAAATTCAGCAGGTGCATGGCCAGCTTTGATTCCTCTGACCAAAGTGCCTAGTTAGACTGTTTGAATTTGCATGGAATTCCCAATGTATTGAACAGGTTTAATCACAATGTGTACAATTTTTTCCCAATGAAAGAAAACATTTTCATCCCGCTCCTTCAAATTTTTTCATCACTAGGGCCAAAAACGAATGTTGCCCACTAACCATCACAAAATTGAACGAACGTCCAAAAACGAACATTTTTAAACTAAATTCTACAGATGTATGGCCAGCTTTAATTCCTCTGACCAAGGTGCCTAGTTAGACTATACTACTTTTTTTGTCCATACCTTCACTCCGTAGATGAATTAGGAATATCTATAATATTACCAGTTTACATTCTATATCTAATGTTACACCTGTACAAGTTAATTGGGCACCAGGGATGTAATGTCTATACTCAGCCTAAAATTACTTGTGAAAAAAAAAATAGATGCCAGCAGCAGAATTACGAACCACCTCTGCGTATGTCAAGTCTGTGATACATTCATGCCGCTATTATACAGCAAACGTTTTAGAAGTGTAAAGATTGTGCTGTCTGAGCTACAAGACGTATCTGTCAGACATTTGACTGACAGGCTCTCTGAGATTACATGGAACTCTGTGCATTCAATTTTGATTGGAGGCTATTGTGTAAGGCATTGGAAATATTTAATTGTTCCCGCTGGCATTGTGATAACCCTCATGTCCTTTACTGCTTTTCATTCAAAGGGCTAGAATTGCTGAAAATGAACCCTCTTAGCTCTATTTCAAGAAGATGAGAACCAAAACATCTAATAACCATTGTTTTTAAACTGAGTGTCTTATATATTTTGGCAGTGTGATTGTACAGTACCTTAGAGCAGCCTTTCTCAACCGGGGTGCCCAGGCACCTTGGGGTGCCTAGAGACTTCTTCAGGGGTGCCTTGGCAAAATGTCTAAAAATTGCCCAAAATGTGTATACAAGCCAGCAGGTGAAAACAAGCCTGCCTTTTAGTCAGGGGTGTATTTACCACAAGGCAAACAAGGCATTTGCCTAGGGCGGCATTTTTCGGGGGGGGGGGGGCAGCACTGCCCCTTGGAAGAAGGGACACACACGGCATGGGGACCTGGTATGTTCCGAGAGATGTTCTGGGTTTCATGACGGTGTATGCACAGCCCGACTCTCGCTCCTGGGGCTGTCCGGAGCTGTAAAGTTGAGTGTCTCTTGCCATGGGGGATGGTGGCTGGTATATGGGGGGCAGTGGTAGTGGAAGGCTCGGGTGGAGGGCAGGGGTGTTCTTGTTCAATGTCAGGCTCTTTCTGCGGGGACGCCAATTTTTGTGTTGCCTAGGGCAGCACAAAACCTAAATACACCACTGCTTTTAGTTACACAAAGCTTTCATTGTGCACCATTATGACCTTCTAGCCGCCGGCATCCTGACAACCAATGACATCATCAGTTGATAAGGAGGATGTCAGCTGCCTGCACAGCATCCTAGTTTGACCCTTCCCTGCCCCTCTCTGTCAGTGCTGGGGTCACATTAGATCAGTGATAGATAAAAACTGAGGGAGAAGAGAAACACTGGAATACTAGTCAGTACCAGTGTGCAAAAGTGTATTTGCTTTGGAAGACTAAATCACCTCTAATGTTGGGTGTCCTACATGTGTGGAAGTTGCTGCATTATATAAAACTATTAGAATTTTTTTTCAAATTTTAGAATGGCGCGCCTCAAGACTGTCCATAATTTTAAAGGGTTCCTTGGAACTATCCATAATTTTAAAGGGTGCCTTGACAAAAAAAAGGTTGACAAACATTGCCTTAGAGAACTGGGGTATTGAGTGCAATGTACCCATTGAGCATATTTTCTGCATTGTGTTTGTATGTTCTTCTTGTATATATTCGTTTCCACTGGATGCTCTGTATTTCTCCTATGATTCAACTACATACCTGTGGGTTACTTATCCTAATCCAAATTGGAATATACCTTTAAACATTAGATAATACCCACCTTGAAAAAAGCGTTTTTTTTTTTCCCAAACCTCATTCCTCAAGTACACCCAACAGGCCAGGTTTTGGAGTTTCCCTTAAATAAATTAGCTGTCATAAATACCAAGTCATTGACATTGATTTAAAGCACTGGTGCAGTGTGAAGAAAATCCTGAAAACATGACCTGTTAGAGGAACTGAAGGACTGAGATTGCACTATAGTGAGTCTTCTGACTCCTCTTCGCTTTCCCTGCACATACTTCCCAGTTCAGTTCTTATTACAGCAGTGGGTCTACACTAGGGAGTATCCAAACTTTTCAGCACTAGGGCCACACTCAGTAGTGTAAATATGTGTTTTGTGCTGCCCTAGGCAACACAAAAAATCTTTCAAAAAAGTTTGAACGGAAATCTAACCATGTATGTGTAGGCAGGGGCAGTCTGTACGTGGTGCTGAACCTGAATGGTACCACAGCCTGGAGAGGGAGTCAGGATAAACATGGTTTCTCTATGGTTTCCTGGACCCTGGGAGCAGCGTGCCGGTTGGCTAAACTGTGTCTAGGTGACCTCTGGTGGCCATCTAGGTCAGTAGAGCCTTTATCCCCTATTATGTGCAACCAGGTTTTGGATAGTGTAGGGAGAGAGACCCTGCCTGAAGGGAAAGCGATTTGCGGCAGGGAAAGGTCCTAGACGAGTAGGGACAGTCTAGGGACTTGCTATCTTACAAGGAAGCCTACCTATTTTGGACCGGACCGGCCAGGCCACCCTACGTCCTCTGAAACAGGTGCATCTCCTCAAGCTGCATCTCTGGGGTGTTTGTAGTTTGGCCTTCTCCTCGATAAAAGTTCCACGTTTTTTTTTGCAACCTCTGTGTCTGTACCGCTGCTGTACCACGCTGCACCTACTCACATATAGCCAGCTTAAGGGTGACCTTAGGCCTGATTCAACAATGTCATTTAGGGTCCCTTTTAAGACAGGGGAAGGGTGCTAGTCGCTCACACAAATTCACACATTTGTATCACACAACTTTTAACTTGTTGAAGATTTTCTGTATATCAAGGCCTATTCTTCCCTCTTCTTAATTCAGCATCTAGCTGCTGTTGGTCAAGTCTCAAGGTAGAGATTGGTGGGTCCCTGAGCTTTCTGGAACTGGCAGATGTCTTCTGCTTGACAGTAATTGCTGAGCATGTATCTGCATATCTATGGCCAACCTACCCCTTACTGCGCAGCTTCCTATGATCAGAATTTGCAACTGGGAAATACATTTTTTTGCCTGGAGATTTTATTCTGCCCCTTTATACATACGACTTTTCCCCTTTGATGAGGATGTGCCTGCAATTATTTTTCTTGTAAAGCAATTTATTTCCATTTTATAAGCCCATTTGGACATTACAAGCCACAGATAAAACAAATCCTTACACTTGTAATTTTTTTGCTAGCTGCTAAGTACTGCAATTAATTAATTCCATTATAAAATTACCCTGCTAATTACATGAAAAAATAGCTTTTTCTTGCTGGGAATACTCGGAGGGATCAGCTGGCATCTGCTGGTTTTTGCTGTCTTCTTCTCCCTGTGAAATATCACATTAGGCACTAAAAAGGAAGTTTTAGTAGAAAATGATGCGGAGAGAAGGGAAAGGATATGCAATGTCTGGGATTAAACAGAATGTATCAGGTTTTTGTGTTAGCCATGTACCATGAAACAGGGCATTATTGTTAACCCCTTCATGAATGCTGGACTTTAGTGACATTGTGACCCCAGTAACACCAGTCTAATAGCTTTAAAGTGAATAGGTTATTTAGGTATTTACATGTTCCTAACAATCACTGAATAACCTGTAAAACAAGCCCTGGATGACCTCTGTAGCTGCAGGCACTGTGGAGCAATTCATCTTCAAAGTTCACAAAAGTGCAGATGTCACTGCTGGATTTACTGGGTGAGAGTTTTGGGGAGGATTGCTTGAGCCCAGGGAGAGTCAAGCTGGCTTTATGGATTCCGTTTGATTTGATTAAAGGCATAAAAATAGGTTTGGTGGAGATGTGTGCTATTACATAATCTGATCTCACCGAGCTGTCTCTGTGGACTTGATCACAATTGGTGGATTGTATCACAGTTTTATTCACGGAGATTTGTAGGCAGGTTGAAGCATGTTCTAGTTAGGTGCTGTCCCATATGGGAAGGTAAGGGTTAATGACTTTCCTGGTTCTTTAGTTTTGGTGTTATCTCTAGGTCCAACCCAGTGATCCTGTGATATTAAAGGCAGTGGTCCAAAGGGGAGAGCCCCGGGCCTGAGAGTCGCTGAGTTGGAGGAAGTCGAGACAGAGAAAAAGAAGATTCGGAAACTGGATCCAGGAGTAGTAAAAGAATGTTTCCTGCTGCTGCTGTAACATCCCCAGAGACACCAGCTGCTGGGTAATGCCACTGATGGACCTTGGACTCTACCTTTTGCAGGTATGCTGGGGCAGCACATAGCCTGAGTTAGGAGTAGGGACATAGGAATATTCCTGTTTGCATGAAATTAATTTAGTAGATTTCCATATAAAGCTTTGAAACTTTGTTCCCACCTATTCTGATGTTACTCAAAGGGGGGTAATGCGTAATGGTAAACAAGCGCTGTCCCCTGATAGAAGGAATGGAAGAAGGGACACATGCACCACAAGGGCCAGGTGGGATCTGAGAGAGGCTGCAGGTTGCTTGATGGTGTATGCAGAGCCCGACTCTTGTTCCCGGAGATGTCTGGAACTGTGAAGGTGAGTGTCTTATCTCTTGCCAGGATGGGGTGGGGGGTTGCCCGGTAATAGTGGAAGGCTCTTTCGGGTGGGGGGGGATGGGGTGTTGTTGGTCAATGTCCGTGGGGGGGGGAGCCAATTTTTTTGTTGCCTAGGGCAGCATGAAACCTAAATACACCACTGGGTCTAAGGTTTGGGTCATGTAATACATGGGGTATGAAGACAGCTCCGCAAGAGTCAACACAGTGTGAAGTGCAAGTCTGTAGTTACCTGGGGTAATGGAAGTTTGACAAGCAGCCAGACATTAGCGTGTACCTGTTATAGGTGGACCAGCCTCTAGCAGCAAGGGACATGTTGTCGGCACTCTTTCCGCCAGTTGTCTATCTCCCATAGCAACAGGAGCTGATATGCATCGCAGAGGACCTGTACAGAGGTATGGAAGTTCAAGAGCAAGGTCAGTTGCACGCGTGGAGCCCGAGAAAGGTGCACAGCAAGGCCCACTACGCTACTGGGGAATGGTAGTGAACACTGGACAGGTGGCTGTGGACTCAGCATGTCCCTCCTAATTGAAAGTCTGCAGTGGGAAGGTGTACATTTATTTACATGGGGACCTGAAAGTTAAATAGAGAACAGCTATGGTGCAGGTGTACATGGTGTACGTTCATCTCTAATAGTAGAGGTTCGCCATTAGTGGAAATGGCACAGAGTAAAGGTACCCCATGTGTATTGAAGGTGATCCTTCTACAGTTGCCTAACATAGCCCAGAAGAACCCACTCTAGGGGTAGTCCTGTTATGTGACCCAGACATGGTGCCCAACGAGTAAATGGGGAACATGGAGGATGTTCCACCATCACCTGCCTACAACCACCCCCTCCCCCCCCCCCCTCTCCTTACTGTATATGAAGAAAGGTTGTGTGGTGATGTTGTATTATAATTATACACATGCCTTGAGTTAGCACAATTGATTAAGTAAATGTTGATTAAGTATTTTATGTTAATGAATTTTGGTATATGAATAAGCACAGCATATTGTAATACACATTGTTAGTGCGTAAGCAGAGTCAAAAGTGCCTTTTTCAATCTTTCAGGTCACAAAATAGCATTTTTTTCTTCTTAGTTACCTGCCCTTGTTTTTGTTGGAGATACAACAGCATGTACTATATAGTATTGCGTGTTAATATCACTTGACCAGTAGATGGCACTGTACACTAAGGTTACCAGTTGTGCATATGTGTAAAACTTGTTGGTTCTCTCTATTCCTCTTTTCTCTCTCTTCAAAACCAAGATGTCTGCTGAAATGTGTTCTGTATGTTTGCAACTTAAGCCACACAAGTAAAACAGTGTTCTGCCTCATCACAAGCTACCAGTGTCTTCTCTAACACATAACCAACAGTTTTGTATATGGGAAGGGATGAGGGAAGCTTTTTTCAGTTTAAAGCAGGAGTCTCTAAAGTTTCAATATGAGGGCCATATAGTATATTTTGCAAATTTTCATTGACCAAAAAAAAAAATATTTTTTTCTATTGAACTGAGTACCCTTTTACATCAATGTGCTCTTCAGAGTCCTCCCTTTAGGATCCTCATCAGATTCTTTTACATCAGGGTCCCCACCAGACTTCCTCTTGCATCAGAGTATCCCCTTAAATCAGGATCCCTATCCGAGTCCCCCTGACATCAGAATTCCTATCAGGGTCGCCATCAGAAGCCTTGTTATATCAAGGTCCAATTAGAATCTCCCCTTACATCAGGTCAAAGCAGAGACCATAAGCAGTCTCTGTTGACCTGAATCCTCAGTCTGTGCACATTGAGGATATGCCACTGGCCCTAGCCATAGGACTGATAAGATCTTGTAGCGGGCTTGATTTGGCCCTTGGGTCGTAGTTTGGAGACCCCTGATTTAAAGAATCAGTCCATCCATAACTGATGTTTCAGTTTTTGAAAATGAAACCACTTCTATTTCTTCTATTTTTTGGAGATTCTATTGGCTGTAGACATTATGAGGGGTTCTCACTCTCCTTGCTTAATGCCAATTATATTTTATAGTTTAGAAAACTCAAAATGGGAACACCAAAACTCCCAGGTAAAGATTTAAAGTCGAGAATTATTGTAGGGAAATCTCAGTGTTGGTGTATCCAAGGTATTCAAGAACTCAGGGGCTTACTCATATCAGTATCCACCTACAACTAAAACAACACTTTTCGGCAGAGTGATAAAGTAAGATTAGGCGGAATTAGGCGAGGTAAGTACCCTTCATATATTTGTATGTTTATATTGCAAAGTAGGAAATATAGAACTGAACATGGCAGTATAAACTCTCATTTACACACAAGTTAGCAAGAATAAATCTGGACACGAGACTCAATAGCCCTATTTTCAGGGAATCAGACTTACTTGTGCATGTGACTTTGATGGACATGTAATCTGTCCAGAGAACCCGAGAGCAGGAAGTCATTCAATGCCTGGGGCTTGGTTATACACGTCACTTCCTTTCTGAGAAGTTGGTTTTCTGTGCTCCAGGGATGAGCTAAAAGACAGAAAACTGAAAGCACATAATAAATAAGAAGACAATTATATTATTTACTTGGGGCTGAAGGCAAGAATATCACATAGTGCAGTGGTCTTCAAACTACGGCCCCTTGCTTGCCTTTATCCAGCCCTTAGAGCACTTTTCCTCCCCCTGATACAAGACACTATTTCTCCTACTAACACCAACAATGGGGCCTAATTCCTGCTACTGACATCAACAACGGGTTCTATTTCTCCCACTGACACCAACAATTGGGCACTATTCCTTCCACTGATACCAACAATGGGGTACTGTTCTTCCTACTGACACCAACAATGGGGCACTATTCCTTCCACTGATACCAACAATGGGGTACTGTTCTTCCTACTGACACCAACAATGGGGCACTATTCCTTCCACTGACACCAACAATGGGGCACTATTCCTTCCACTGATACCAACAATGGGGCACTATTCTTCCTATTGACACCAACATTGGGGCAATATTCCCCTCTCTGACAACAACAATGGGACAATATTCCTCCCACTGACACCAACAATGGGGCAATATTCCCTTCTCTGACAGCAACAATGGGCAATATTCCTTCCACTAACACCAATTATAGGGCACTATTCCTCCCTCTGCCACCAATGATGGGGCACTTTTTCTCATAGTGACACCAATGAAGAGACAATATTTCTTCCACAGACCCAAACTATGGAACAATATTCCTCTTTCTAATACCAAAGATGCATTCTTTACTCCCACTGACACCAGGACAAGTTCTACTCCCAATGGCCACAGTCCAGCCCCCCTAAAGTCTGAAGGCCAGTAAACTGGCCCTTTTGTACAAAAGGTTTGGAAACCCCTGATCTAGTTGGCAGCAGAATGGGTGTAACTCAGTAAAGCAAATAAAAAAAGGGGGCAACAAAAGTACAGTTGACCTTTAATACATCTGCAGCATTTGCTGAAGGGCACTCGCTGAATTCTATCATTTGTTGCCTGGGCTGGCTGGTCACTTGATGCTTCTTAAAGCCCAATAAAGGATCACACCACTCAGCCACAAGCTGAGGGAGGTATGCTGCATAAGCAGAAGAAGCCAGAAACCCTGAATTTTTGTGGGGTTTGGAAATCTCCTGGCTGGTCATAGAGTCTTTACAGAAGCCTGTGGGTGGCCACATTTGCTGGGCCGCATCTAAAACTGGCCATTCATTTTTGAGTGGACTTATTCTTAGTACAGGCCACCTAATTGAATTGATCATTGAATCAATTTTTTTAATTATTTACAAGCAACACAACATACCTGTCCAAGTGTTTTGTTTTTAACAAGAATTAATTATAGTTCCTTAGGCCAGGGGTCTCCAAACTACAGCCCGTGGGCCACATCCTGCCTCTATGAGATTTTATCTGGCCCTCAGCCTGCTTGCATATTCTTAGTGCACAGATAGAGGATTCAAATCAGTCGGTCTCTGCTTGACGGGGTCCTTGATGTAAGCAGGACTCTGATAAGGATCTTTCTGTATGGGGGGACTCTGAAGAGGACCATGTTGTAAGCAGGGACTCTGAAATCACCATAGTAGGGGCGGACTGACAACTCATGGGGCCCACGGGCAATAGGGGATCATGGGGCCCCTGTGTCCTTGCCCAAACTCAAAAAAGCCTATGAAAAATGTACCAGGGGCATCTCATGGGGCCCCCTACTGACTCCGGGCACTCGGGCAGTGCCTGAGTTTCCAAATGGTCAGTCCAGCCCTGGGGCAGCGTCACTAGGAACTCCAGCAGTGAAATCTATGCACTGAGTTCCCAGCTCCGCCCACTCTCCTGTCACAGACTTTATAATAGGTTATCACATTCCCAAGATATCCCACTGAGTGATTTCAGCAAGCTATTCTAAAGAAAAAAAAAAAATTAATGAATCTACCGCATGCCTTCCCGCCTGAGCCAGCTGCCCGCTGGGTATAATATACTCCCTCGCATGATGTTCATTTTCCATTTCACTCTCTAAGCATGAGATAATGAGCTGCATGTCTGGCTCCACAGATAGACAAAGCCTTGATTTGAAAGGACAATTACATTAGACCGTTCGAATATTCTGCCTGTCTATTCCAAATGTCATTACAGCTCCCTGCATACAACAAACAAACTCATTTACAGAACTGGCACCTAGTCAGTTCCAGGGAGACGGGGGTCAGATGTGGATAAATATTTCATCGAATGTTTGGACAGAGCAGATTTAAAAAAAAAAAATACATATGTGCTTCCTCCAGTAAATCGTATTTATAATATGGATGTCTCTATTCTTTGACAAATGTAATGATAAGGCGGGAGAGTATCGTCATCATACGGAGCTATTGTTCACCCTTACACTGTCGGAGCCATTTTTTTCATTTTTTGCACACATATTTTAGACCCAAAGATGATCTAAAATCCCTAAATCATTAAATATTTTCTGAAAGTAGAGACCCGGAAAAATAAAATGTCAGTACAGTAGTTGCAACATTTTATGTCACGTGATTAGCGCAACTGTTTATCAAACCCAAATTGTTCAGTAAAAAATACACTAAAGTTAAAGCAGTATTAAACCCAATAGCAAACATTTATTATATTGCAGCTTACTAATTCTTAGATGTGATGGCTACAGGGGCGGACTGACCATTTGGAAACTCGGGCACTGCCCGAGGGCCCCGGGGTCAGTAGGGGGCCCCATGAGATGCCCCTGGTACCTTTTTCATAGGCTTTTTTGAGTTTGGGCAAGGACACAGGGGCTTCATGATCCCCTATTGCCCAGGGGCTCCATGAGTTGTCAATCCGCCCCTGGATGGCTGCAATTTGGGTTTGATAAACAGTTGCGCTAATCACGTGACATAAAAAGTTGCAACTACTGTACTGACATTTTATTTTTCCGGGTCTCTACTTTCAGAAAATATTTAATGATTTAGGGATTTTAGATCATCTTTGGGTATTTCATTGTTATTTGCAATCATTGTTACTGAATGAAACTGATTAATTCAGTCTTTTGTTGTGATTAGCTGTGATTACATGATACAGATGGGCTGTGATTGGCCCTGTCTCTATCATGTGACTGCCTTGACCAGTCACAGCTAACAATGTAATTGTATACAATGGATGGCATGACAGGAAGCCATCCATTGTATAAAATTGACATGTGATCGGCTGTGATTGGTCACAGTAGTCATATGACACTGGCAACGGGCTGGTGTAGTGATATGTCATCGGTGATAGATGGCGCAGATGCACAGCCCTGCGGCTCGTTTTGACAGGACGTCATATGACGCCTAGTCACAACGGCGAGTGTCCTGTCTGGCCTATAGCAGATTGACGGCTGGGCGGGACACTCGCCGTTGTGACTGGGCGTCATATGACGTCCTGTCAAAACGAGCCGCGGGGCCACGCATCTGCGCCATCTGTCACCGGCTGTGTCCGCGAGACATGGCTGATGACATATCACTACACCGATCCATTACCAGTGTCGTGACCGCTGTGACCAATCACAGCAGATCACATGTCAATTGTATACAATGGATGGCTTCCTGTCATGCCATCCATTGTATACAATTACATTGTTAGCTGTGACTGGTCAAGGCAGTCACATGATACAGACAGGGCCAATCACAGCCCATCTGTATCATGTAATCACAGCTAATCACAACAAAAGACTGAATTAATCAGTTTCATTCAGTAACAAGGATTGCAAATAACAATGAAATACATTGGTATTAGCAATCATAATGTGTTAAAAAGAAAAAAAAATCCTCATCACTTGCCCAGAGTAGTTCAATGTTACTATGGGAATATTGTATTACTTTGGTCACAGTGTGCTGAAAAATAAAATAGTAAAAAAAAGAAAAAATGTAATTAAAAATAACAAAAATAATAGAAACATTTTGAAAAAAAAAAACTAATTCAATTACTATTATTTTCACCAAAGAAATATAGCATAATTTTGACCTAAATATATGAAGAAATGTTATTTATCTGAAAAATTTTATAACAGAAACAAAGAAAAGTGCATTTTTTTTCAAAAGTTTCAGGTGTTTTGTTTTATTTAGCAAAAAATAAAAAACTCAGTGGTGATTAAATACCACCAAAAGAAAGCTCTATTTGTGTGAAAAAAAAATGATACAAATTTCACATGGGTTCACCGCACAATTGTCATGCAAAGTGCAACAGCGCTGAAAACTGAAAATTGGCCTGGGCAGGAGGGGGGTATAAGTGCCCGGTACTGAAGTGGTTAAGCTTTCGTTCCTTTATTTTCAGCAGGTGATCTGCACAGTAACAAGCTCTCCTGCAACTGTATCAGTGAGAGGGTTGAGACAAACCATTTACCACTGACATGGGTGCTTGTAATGATCCACTGTAAAACCTTTATCCCAAAAAGAAGAAAATCGTTGCTAATTAGCCGCTCTGATTGGAATTAAAAGAGAGCGGGAGGGGACGCCCTCCCCCTCCTGCCACCTTTTACGGCCTTACCAGGATCTACCGTCCACCCGGAGCCCCAATTGACCATGCCGCGCTTCCTCCGGCTCATCACAGAGCTGGACAAAGACTGGTTCGGCTCTATGATATAGTAACCCAGAAGTGATGACCTTACCTCACTTTTGGTTTACTCAAAAATACATGGCGCCATTTAAAAAAAAAAGCATTGAATCAGACTGATCTTGGTGTGATCGAATGCTTTTAAGGGGAGAGGAGGGATATGGGGTCTTATTGATGCCAAATATCTCCTCAAAGAGTACCTGTCACATAGAAGCCCTGGACCCTTTTGACAAAGTGCATCGCACGAAACGCGTCAAGGGGGGCTACAGCATATGGACATCTAAGCCACCGTTGGTGGCCAACACAATATCCTTGCGGTCAGTACCTTTACTTGTCTATTTTTACTTCTACTGTACTTGAAAATAAAGCCTTTTATGCAGTATCACGC